ATACAATCTAAAAACCCTTTTTCTTTACATGGGAGCTAAAACTTTTTGGTTTAATTTTAAAATCTTTTAAGTTTTATCAATACCTTGTAAAACCTCTACACCTTCACTACTGGTCAGAGTTTATAATAATAATAATAATAATAATAATAATAGTTTTATTGCCATAAGATCATTACAATGATATCGACAACCTCTTGAGGTTACAATAAATTAATAATATACCTACATATATAATAGTAAATTTAAGATTAAAATACATTATTTAAAATCATTAAAATATTAAGTAAAATACCTACACTAACAAATTAAAAGTTTACAAATTCATTAAAAGAGTAAAAACAGTTTTGGAGAAGAAAATCTTTTACAGCATATTTATATTCTGTAATTGATGGGATGTCCTTAATTTCATTTGGTAACTTATTTGTAACTTGAACAGATCTGTACAAAACGCTTCGATGATACAATTCGGAATAATGTGTGGGAACCCTTAGCAATGTACCTCCCCTGTTATGCATACCATTAAAAACATCATTATTTCTGACGAATAAGTTTAAATTTTGTCTCACAAACATCAAAAGATGGTAAATATATAGACAAGGCAGCGGTAATATTTGATGCGTTTTGAAATATTCTTTGCATGATACACTTCTGCTTATTTTTAACATTGCTCGCATAGCACGTTTTTGAGCAATAAAAACCGACTCAAATTTAACACCGGATCCCCAAAATATTATACCATAACTTAAAACAGACTGAACATAGGAGAAGTAAAATGTTTTTAGACTTTGTATAGTGACGTGGTTACCTAGATATCTTAATAGATAACTAGCAGAATTGACTTTTGATATGACAGTTTTAATTTGAAAGTCCCAACACATTTTCGAGTCTATTTGGAGTCCAAGAAACTTAACCACGTCATTATTTACAACTGTCGTTCCATCAAAACGCACAAGAAGGCTGCGCAAGTTAACATTAAAATTTTTATTAAAGACCATAAGTTGGGTTTTTGTTGTATTAAGCAATAGACAATTTTCCTTGCACCATTGAGACATTACACTTATTATATTTTCGGTGTATTTCGACAGATTGGGAATGGTCCTAGCCACAGCAACACAAGAAGTGTCATCCGCGAATTGACAAAGGCCCTGAAGTTTGACTGACAGATCATTAACATAGATTAAAAACAAGGTTGGTCCTAGTACTGATCCTTGGGGTACGCCTAGTTTAATTTGCAGTTTTTCAGAGAAGTAATTTACTTTTTGATTATTTTGTTCAGAATCTATGCTAACAACCTGAAATCTGTTTGAAAGATAAGATCTTATAAGATTAAGTGATGTGCCACGGAAACCATAGCTCTCAATTTTGTTTAACAGAATTTCATGATGGAGGCTGTCAAAGGCCTTTGACAAGTCAAAGTAGACTCCTGCGACCATAAATTTATTCTCTAGATTGCCTAGAATGTCATTAATAGATTTATACACTGCATGGGTAGTTGAGGTTTTTGGTAAAAACCCAAATTGCGTTGGAGATAACAGTTTATGACTTTTTAGATATGCAATAATACGCGTGTTTAGCAGTTTTTCAAATATTTTTGACATCACAGGCAACAGAGATATTGGTCTATAATTATTTATATTTGTAGGACCACCTTTTTTATACAATGGTAGTGTTTTTGCTATTTTTAAAGAGTCAGGAAATACCCCATTTGAAAAACAATAATTCGCAATATCGCTAAGAGGTCCTGCTATCTCTCTAGCTACTAATTTAATTATTGTAATTGGTATATTATTAATTCCTGTTGATTTTTTTGCTGGCATTGATTTTATAATGTTAAACACTTCATTGTAATCTGTCGGAATAACGAAGAAATTATGGTGAACATGGTGTGTCGAATCATTTATTTGTATTTCATTAGTATGCAACTTCAAAAATGTTTTATTAAAGAGATTTGCCAATAATTTTGGATCTTGAATTAAAACTCCATTATGTTCAATTTGCAAGTTTCCATTTTCAGTGTTACATTTATTTGATAGCGAGTGGAAAATTCTCCAGGTTTCTCGACTAACATTATTGGAATTTAGTATTCTATTTTCGTTATAACTTTTCCTATAATAGTAAAGGTAATTTTATAAATCCTTTTTTCTTGAATGTACTTGTCTTTAACTTCTTGGAGATCTGAGTGTTTAGTCAGCCAATAGAGTTCTCTAAGATTTTTCGACCATTGTTTAATTTCGTTTGTAACCCAATGGCGATTTCTATTTGTTACTGAAACTTTTCGTACGGGAAATGATGCATTAAAGTGAAAAATAAAGGTATTATAGAAACAGTTAAAGTAATCATTAGGGGAGATACCGGGTGTAATACATTGCCAAGTCTGTTCTCGAATTTTTGTGCAGAAATTAGATTTATTCCAATTAGTATAAGAGCGCCTGTACACAAATAATCTGTTTTCCTTTACATCTGTCTCATTAACAGTTAACATTTGACCATAATGGTCAGAAATGTCATCTTCTATAACTGAGCAAGTGATTAAGTGAAGTGGAAAGTTTGAAAACACATTATCAATTCTTGTTGCAGAATTTGTTCCTACTCTTGTGTTTTCATTTACGTGACTATGCAATCCAAAAGAAGAGAATAGGTCGCAAACTAAATTATTGTTAATATTTTGATTATTACCAAAATCGATATTAAAGTCCCCACAAACAATTACATAACAATTTTCACATTTAATATTTTCAAGTAAATCATTTATAAGATTAATGAATACATTAATATTACCATTTGGAGAACGATATACACAAACAATTATTGTTTTTTTGTTATTTAAATACAGTTTCGAGGAGGTATATTCAAAAACTCTTTCGACGGCAGTCACGTTGTACGAGATAGGACACATTGACAAGTTGGTTTTCGCATAAATGACAGTACCACCACCTTTTATGTGTTCTCTACTAAAATTGTTTATTTGCTTATAGTTCTGTATATTGTATAGTTTAATTTCTGCAGGAGACAACCAATGTTCGGTGAAACACATTATTTGAGGATTTAGGTTCGCCGCCAAAGTTTCGTATACTGCGGCAATTTAAATGAAACACTTTAAATGACTTACCACTCTTACAGTTTTTTGGAACTTGGAACAGGTCTTTTAGACTGAGTTGGACTTTCTCTTTATGCCTCTCTGTTGTAGAAGGGACCCTTCCACCCGACCTTAAAGGCTGGTCAATGAAGAGTTCCAACGATGGTATTACCTCCACCTTACCCCCCACCACTAACTTTCACAGCGCTTCCTCTATTAGGGCTAGTAATTTATCCTTAAAGTCATTAAGTTGTTTTACTGGCTCCCCGACATTGCCAGTCTCCATGAGAGAAATGCGTAGTTTTCTTGCCATTTTCAATACAGTAAAACTGTGTAAAAATAAGTAACAAATAATTATTTTAAGATATTTTATGATTACCCTTTTCCATATAAGGATGGACTTAATGGCCCCGCCAGAAGATCTGTGCTTTGGCTAGTTCAGCATAAAACGTTTTTCCCAAGTATTTTTAGAATTTGTGGATTTTCCTAAGTTGTTTTTAAGTTCATTTAATATCCCTTCTTAAAATACCCCATAGAGACCTATACAAAATAATCTATTGGGCGCTACCGGATTCAATATGTGCATTTGTCCATGGTTCTTTCCGGATACGGCCCGATAGAAAATGTATAGGAAATTACCCTTAGGCACACCATAACTTTTACATTTTCCCTATTGAGACCGATAGCAAATAACTCAATGAAGGATATATAGGGATATCCCTATAGAGCAGGGTTTCCCAACCTTTTCTTGTTTAGGGACCACTTTTATATTATTCTTGTTAGCAGGGACCACTATGTAGGTATAATAAAAATAAACTGTAATAATCAAACTGAATTTTTAATTAAAAACTCAATAGGAAATTACATAATAAAAATAAATAATAATATTTTTAGGATAAACTTCTGTAATTTTGTATTAATGTGATTTCTGAGCTTGCATCTTCTTCACGAGTTTGGCTATCCTAGGCTAATATTGTTACTCAAAGTTACACGCAAATGATTACTTACTTTCATTTAATTAACAACAAAGCAAAAAATCCTTGTTCACATAAATTAGTTGTTGAGAAAACCGAATTTTTCGAAGTTTAGTATAAGAAATTGCTTTTTTACACAAAAACGACTCAAGTGAATTCGATTCAAAAGCATCCTTGCAGTTTCTGTCATTTTGAAATTCAATGAGTTTTTTCTGGATTCCTTCAGTAACTTTACCAGCGTCCGTGTTAAAATGGTTACGAATCAGTTTTTGATCAACTTTAGTTTTTTCGGTATATTCTGGGAAGTAACGATTAAATTCACAAATCAACATTTGTAAATGAGTCATGGTGTTTTCTTGCACATTTTGTCTTCCGCAAGTGCTTTTAAAGGCTCAAAGGCAGAATAATTATTTTCTTTAATTTTACGTAACCACAACTGAAGTTTGCAAATAAAAGCGCGAAGTTCGCCGACGCACAGTGGTCAGTTTGGGCAATCTGGGGCGGAATAAATATTTTAGTAATGTTTGTAAATTCATGCTATACTAACACGGTATAATATGGTATAGGAATACCAAATCCCTCTAAAGGCATTCTTTTATTATACAGGGTGTCACATTAAAGTCATATTTTACAAAAACCCTAACACCTAAATAAATTAAAAAGCAAAAGCTTTACACTAGAAATATTAAATACGGTTTTACGGATAAATTTAGTAAAAAATCTAACAAATTATGTAACTTTTATAAAATGTCAAGAATAATTATTACAATTTTTAATATAAAATCTAGTTTGAATTTTTTAACCTTTAAAACTGCATATTTTTTCTCCTTTGGATTATCACTTTTTTACTTTATTAACAATATTATATACTATAATAATAATATATTACTATGCGTAGTAAAATAATATTTAAGTCTTATCTATAGTTATTTTAATAATAATTTATAAAGTTATTCACTATTATCACTAGACTCCTGGTTGGTCTGAGAATATATTGATGGTGGTGTTTTGAGCATTTTAATTACATCTTCTGGTAAATTGTTACGCTTTCTTTTACTTGGTTTTCTTAAACTTGTAATAAATGGATCAGAAGTGATCAGGAGCATGTGGATCATGTCCTCCATGGTTTGCTCTCTGGTAAATTTTCTTGAATGATATTCTCTGATGTTCTTTGCATCTTTATTGCGCGCTTCTTGGGCCTCTTCCGACATTTGCCCAATAGCGAGTACTGATGTGTTCACCAGGATTCCTCCATGAATTAGTATCTTGTGGACACTTTGTGGCATGTAATACCACTGATATAGTGATACATAAAGTTCAGCGCGCTGAACTTTACCGCGGTATCCAGACAGTACAGAACCCATTTCACACCAATATAATAATAATCAATGAACGATATTTGATAAAGCAAAAGATAAAACTGAATGTATTTTTCATAAATTTGGTATTTAAAGGTAGTATCTTATACCTTTCTGAAGGATGGAAGGATTTATGTAATCGCCCAGGTAATGCAATAACATTATTTGTAATTAGGCGATTAAAATTAAGGATTAAGGGGAGTGAAAAATATAATATTTATTATTAGGTAACAGATTTTTACATAAAGTTTGTGTGATCCATTGGGTCATAAATTATTTAATAATAAAGCAAAACCTATATGATTTGCGATAATAAACCCTTAAAATTGTACGAGTTCCTAAATTGAACGTCTGTGTTAACAAAACACAAAATTGGCAGTTTCATTGTGAAACCGGATGCTTATAAATTGCTTATAACTTTTTAGATTGCAAGTTATTGCAGATAAAACCACTTTATATGGAAAGACCGATATTTTTTTAGACAAATAAAGTACTTTTTACAACCAATCCACGCCAATCCCAAAAGTTCTATATTAACAAATGCCAAAAATATGTCTTCAAAATGGGTTCTAATTAAATAAAAATCAAAACAACAAAACAGGCATTAAGTTAGTTATATTAATAGTACAGGAAGACCGACTCGCAGACCTTCCCTATAATGCACAAATAAAACATTGCTATAACTGCAAGTGAACTGGCTTTTGTTGGCGGGTTAAACAAAATATTTTCTAGAATATGTTTAAAAGTATTTAGGTTCGCAGTGCCGTATAAAATATGGTGATAAAGACAAATTTAAATTTTGATTTATTCCGCCCCAGATTGCCAAAACTGGCCACTGTGCGACGGTGGTCTAGTGGTTAGTGCTGCTGACTACAAGCCGGAGGTCGTGGGTTCGAATCCCACCAGGGGTATGGCTGTTTATTTGTGTTTGTCATATTGTGTAATAGTCCTTCGGAGGGGACTTTAAGCCCACGGTCCGTTCCTACCCCTAACCCGCACAAGCCATTCAGTTGGCTTATGGGACTTCTTAAGAATTAAGAAAGAAGAATTAAATGAGCACTTTTGTATATAAACTTTTTTGTATATCTTCAAAATTGAATATATTTGCGATAAGCCAATCTGACATGCCGGATTAGTAAACTGTTTCAACAAATCATTAATTTTTTTGTCAACCAGAAAACTCTCAACCTTTGCTCTCAGTTCATATAATCTTTCCAACATATTACCTTTCGATAGCAATCGAACTTCTGTCGAAGTTATTAAGATATTTATTTTTGAAATAATATCCAAAGAAGTTTTAATTTACAAACAATATACTACTTTGCCATAGGTACGGTCCCGCCAAAAGACATAAACAGAAATAGACGCATTGAAAATGTTCAATTAATGACGGCCCGAAAACGATCATTTGTAATCCCTACGGAAAGAGTTTATTAAAACAAAATGTTCACTTTTGAATTATCTTTACAATTCTTCCTATTTTTATTATTAGGTATTTGTAAACTGGTTCAATAAATATTATTATTATTATTACTTACCTATATTATTTACGAACAAATTCAAGAAATAAAGTTAAGAACAACGGTCAGTAATGAATGATTCACTTCCTCGCACAGTTAAGTAATATTAAATACTATTACTGACAGTCAAATATAACAAATGACAACGCAAACGTAGGTAATTGCACACGATACACGTTCAATTGTGGGCATATCGCAGACGTTGTATCGTCTTTGCCGAGCCGGCGGCCCCGCGTACCGCCCCCAACACCATTTAAAATTATTCGCGGACCATATTTTGGTTTCTGCGGACCACTGGTGGTCCACGGACCACTGGTTGGGAACCATAAAACATTTGACAAAATTTTATTAAAACCTATGGGGTCCTATAGGGGAAAACTAATTTCTACATTTATGTGTATTTTCCCCCATTGAAATAAATCAAGGGTGGATATCCCTATAGAACAACCATAAATCTCAACTATGGGTCCTATACAAACCGATACCCCTATAGAAACACCATACATCCCGATACAAATATCTATCGGTTTGAACAGGGTCTCTATGGGGCATTTTAAGCAGGGATATTAAATATCACCAATGATTTTTAAAATAATTATCTAACACAATTTTAGTTTAGGATCTGCGAGTTTTAGGTTATAAAACAAAGATACTCTCTGTCCTAGAAACATTTATCGCTATTCAAAAAGATTCAAGGTCAAGACTCTCAACATATGAGAAACGGAATAGCCTTAAACATAGGTGATGTTTGGGTTGTCGTTGAGTGAACATACATGTTAAGAAATTGATGTTTACGAACAGCAAGAAAGGGAATAGGCCTCTTATAGGCGGTTTCATATAGATCCGAAATACGAAAAATGTTTTCTTCTTCTTCTATACTTTTTATTCTCTCTTCCGAGAGAATTGGACTTGAGCCAATTAGGCTTTTACTGCCCAGTTACAAGTTTTTACGTCCTTGAGCTTCTCGAAGCCATCCACTCACGGACATGTGGAATTTCAAATCTTGAAACATCCACCAAAACGATTGCACAAATCACAAAATACCTCGCTGAAAGGTCAAAGCTTGCGATATTGTCAAGAAATACCGGTATATTTCTATACCGGGAACCCCATTTTATCCTTCCTGTGTCAAAGTCAACTATTTTCAGACTTTTTCATGGAGCGATGTACACTGTACATTGTACAGCCGTTGAAAGATAAAATCGAACTCCGAAAAATGTTTTCATTGGTCCATTTGATTTGGCGGGAAAATCGTTTTGACGTTTTGACTGATCCTGCGAATTCACAAGATATTCGTATTTCGCATCTATATGAAACCGCTTTAAAAGTGTACCTGGCAGGTACTACCTGCATAAAGTTTTGTCAATACAAGTAGGTATAAAGCTTCGACTGAATTTGATCTAAAAAATTATGGAATAAGAATATCTGTATTAACGGTAGGTTAATGTATTATACCTAACTTATAATACATTAACCTACCGTTAATACAGATATTATTATTCCATAATAGAGAAGTTAGATTTTTTTTAATAAATGCCGTTTAGTTAAAATTATTTTTTGTAAATATGTAGACCAAAGGCAAAAAAATATTACTTATTTGGCACCATAAGGGTATTTTTTTTTATTGGGCCAAAAATGGAAAAATACCCGAAAAAAATAAGTTTTTGAAACCTGAAACTGAATTTTATGATTCCTTGAATAGTCTAGTACACTGTTTTTATATGGGATTCTACAAATTTGGTCAACTGTTTTGCTAGTGAATAATATTTAATGATAATAACTTATTTCTGTCCTTTCTGCAACACATTCGTTCAATTAAACAAACATTTTTATATTCACATTAGAAGCGGTGTTTTTTATATAATTAATATTAGTATACACGCATCTAGAAAACCAATTGGTATGAGGTTTTATAAATATTTAAATAAATTATTTTATAACATGCACCATATGGTTATAAGTTCTTTAAAAGCGCAGAACCTCTAATATTACAGGTTAACTTACCTATTTGTATAGCAATATTTGTGAAACGGCCGTAAGATATGATAATTTTATAACTTTAGAGCATGTTGAATAATGAATATGCAATTGAAAGTAGCTATAGCATTTTATTTTTCTTTAAGGTTCACGAATTTACGAAGACGGGGACAATTTGTTGCAGATTGGAATTTTAACAAATAAACAGCCCATTAAATTTATTTATTAATACGAGCCCTAACCACATAATGTTCGGACACTTCATAATTTATACCAGGGACCCGGACCGAAACCGAAAAAAACCGAAAACCGGAACGGAACCGGTTTTTTTTTCCGAACCGAAACCCGAACCGGAACCGTTTTCGCTTTTGATAAAATCTGTTGGACCGGAACCGAAACCTTTATTTGCTTATATATATATATATATATATATATATATATATATATATATATATGTGTGAGGTTATAGATTAAAATTACGTAAAACAAATAACCTCACTGGAACCGCTTAAAACCGAAAAGAACCGAACCGTTATAACTCCACGAAAACGAAACCGGAACCATTAAAACGAAAATAGGGTGAACCAAAACCGTACCGGAACCGATATTTCATTTCGGTCCGGGTCCCTGATTTATACAGAAATTTTTTTCATGAATACTATCTCAAAATTATTAGAAGTTATGAAAAATTCAGCTTATTTTGGCATATACCCCTCGAAGCGATTTTTATTTTTAAAAAGTTTACCTTTTATTTTTAGCTTTTAAAAAAAGGCTAACTTTTTAACTTTTTTTTGTATGAGTAAAAAAAGTTATAAATGGACCCATTAAAAAGAGCATAAAATATTATACAAACCCTGAAAATTTGGTAAAAAATAAATAAGTTATAAAAAAGTATAAGTAATTTAAAAATGCTATTTTTAAAGAGTTTTTGCAATTTTCTTAGGAAACGGGAGATTTTGCAGATATATATATATCGCTATAACTTTCTTATTATTTATACAATTTTTACCAAATTTTCAGGGTTTGTATAATATTTTATGTTCTTTTTAATGGGCCCATTTATAACTTTTTTTACTCATGCAAAAAAAAGTTAAAAAGTTAGCCTTTTTTTAAAAGCTAAAAATAAAAGGTAAACTTTTTAAAAATAAAAATCGCTTCGAGGGGTATATGCCAAAATAAGCTGAATTTTTCATAACTTCTAATAATTTTGAGATAGTATTCACGAAAAAAATTTCTGTATAAATTATGAAGTGTCCGAACATTATGTGGTTAGGGCTCGTACATTTAGAAAAGAAAGATATAACTTGTATTGACCGATTAGTCATTAGGGAGGACCAAAAAATTAAAATCTGGAATTTCAAAACGCAATACCTGCCAAAATATGCCTTTTTATGTGTGTAAGAAAGCAGAATCATATTAAAGGTCATCTTC